AGCACTATTTTTTAGAAAGAGAATAGAATCCAATAAAATAAAACAGTAAAGCAAATCAAAGCAAAGCAGTGAAACTGGTACAGAACTTGGAAGGAGGATAATAGGAAACAGCAATGGTGACCATAATCTTTATATCTTTACAGTAGTTGTCCATTCCATCAGGCATGGTAGAATCAAATAAAACAGAATAAAGCCAATCAAAACAGAACATTGAATAAAACAAAACAATAAATTGGAGCAAAACAAAACAGTGAGAACAATACTGAATTAAAAAAAAAAAAAACAAAAAACAAAAAAGTAGACTGAAGGAAATCCCCCGTATTTGCCGTATTGCATACTGGCATCCTCCCCAACAGATGCTCAGACTACCAGCCTTAGGCCTGCAGAGTCAATCCAACAGTACAAGCCTTTAGCTGGTTTTGTACCTCACTTGCTATTGACTCAGCCTGTCTTCCGAACCAGCTGCTTGCTTGCAGGGGTGTTGGGGGTTCTTGATTCTCAACCAACACACCAGTTGGCTCACAGGAAGGACCAACTGGCTTTGCTCTTCCTGGTCCCTGCCTGGGTGGTGTGGTTTACTGGAATGGTAAACTGGCTTCTGGAGTGCTCTCCCCAGATCCAGCGTGGCTTCCACCAATTCGCTGGAGGGGTGAACTGGCTTCTGTCTTCCTGGCCCTATATGATTTGTGCAGCTTACCAGAAGGGTGAGCTGGCTTCTTGATGTGCTCCTCCCAGACCCAACATAGATGCTCACAGTGTTTTGATTACTGCAGTTTTGTAATAAGTTTTAAAACTAGGAAATGCGAGCACTTTCAACTTTTATTTTTTAAGGTGGTTTTATCTATTTTGAGTTTTATTTTCACATGAATTAAAAATCATCTTGTCAATTTCTTTTTTTTTTTAAAGGCAGCTGACATTTTAATAGAGATCTCGTTAAATCTATGGATCAATTTGAGGAACATTGCTGTCTTAATAATACTGTGACTTCTTATCCATGGACATGGAATGTCCCTCCATGTATTTGAGTCATTTAATTTTCAGTGTATACATTTTTTTTTAGTGTATACATCTTATACTTTTATATTTATTCTGAAGTATTGTATTTTTTGATGTTGTGGATGGAAATGCTTTTGTAATTCCATTTTCAGGCTATTGTTATTTTATAGAAACATACTTTTTTTTTCTTTTTTATTGGTACCAGGGATCGAACTCACAACCACACATTTGCAAGGCAGGCGCTTATGCCGCTGAACTAGATCCCCAGCCCCGAAATATAGTTTTAATAAAACTATTTTGTATTCTGTGATCTTACTGAACTTGTTCCTGTAGGGGTATTATTTATTCACTTTTCCTAAATTCCTCAGAATGATTTTCTGCATACAGAATCTAATAATAAAATTTTACTTCTTCCTTTCTAATCTGCATGCCTTTACTTCTTTTTTGTGTGTGTTATTGCACTGGCTGAAATATTCATTACAGTCTCAAATACAGGCAGTGAGAATACATCCTTGCCTTGTTTTTAATCTTAGGAGGAAAACATTCAAACATTCACCCTATGATGTCAGCTTCATTTTTAAATGTGTTTTTAGATTTCGTTTTGCCAATGTCTTTATGGGCTTCTATATCATAATCATGTTAGACTTTTTTTTGTCTTTTTTTTTTTTTTTTCGGTACCAGAAACTCATGACCTTGCACTTGCCAGGGAAGTGCTTACATCACTGAGCTAAATCTCCAGATCTGTGTGCATAATCATGTAGGACAGTAGTTTTTTTCTTTGACATATGTCTTGCTTTGGTAACAAGATAGTTCTGGCCTGATGGAATGAGTTGGAAAAGATTCCCATCTGTAGTTAGTTTCTGGTAGAGTTTGCAAAAAATTCATGCTGCTGCTTCTTAAATGGTTTGTTAGAATGTCCTGCTGAAATATTTGGACCTTCGATGGCATTGGGTTATCAGAATTTATTAACATTAGTGTCACTAAAGTTGGTATACCCCCCCCCCCCACTGCTAAATTTGACTGGCTTAAAAAAAAAAAAAAAAGAAATATTTGGACCTTAGCTTAGCTTTTGTGAGAAAATTTTAAATTATTAAGTTCATTCCTGTACTTGTTATATGTCTACTCAGATTGTCTGTTGTTTATTTAGTGTCAGCATTTGTGTCCTCTTAGGATGTTGTCCCAGTGCCTCTTCTTACATAGTGTGTTTGTTTGTTTTAAATAGGACACTATCCTAAAATCATAATGGTTGTTACTTCCCGAGAGGGCCCCCATCCCTCCCTTAGGTCCACCCTTGCAACTCCCCCACAGGTTGTAAGAACCGGTGTCGCAGGGGAGAAGACCCCAAGGACTCAGCTCGTAGTGAGGAGTAAAAAGTTTATTTCCATGCGCATGGGGTCCCCCAGGCAAACAAGTGCGGAGGGCCCCGAGGGGGAATTGTGTAGGGTTTTTAAGGGCGCAGGGAGGCAAGCGAATTTACAGAAGCAGATTGCATTGGTTAATTTTGAGCAGCATAGGATTTGGCAGAAATTGATTGGAGGGGTTTGGGGTTGAGTAACCATGGAGACTGGGGGTCCTAGCCCAGTCACTATGTGCCCAGAACAGAACAGTTACTTGTCTTACTTATCTCGTTGAGACAGAACAACCTTGCAGGTGCATTCTTTCTTTTTTTTTTCTCTGCTCTGATAGCTCTGGGGAGTTAGGCATTTCTTTCTGCTCTGCTCTGATAGCTCTGGGGAGTTAGGGAGTTAACCCTTTTATTCCCCCGCTCTGGGGAGTTAGGGAGTGAAACATTCTTTGCTGCTTTTTATAACTCAGGGAGGGGGTTATAGCAGGGGGGTCAACTCTCACATTCCCCCCTTTTTTTTTTTCGATGACTTTTAATCTTAAAGGTCCTGTATTGGTAAGGGGTCATACTGTTGACGTAGCACCATAACCTTTACTTGAGAGATCTGAGCCCTCACAAACTGGGTTACTCGGTTAATGAGGTAAGGGGCTATAGCCATGACTATAATGAATCCAGCCAGGGGTCCCAGTAAAGGGAGAATATAGGGCAGGATTGATTTCCAGAAGGAGAACATTTTGGCTTTACTTGAAGGGGGCTCTTGAGATTTAATTTTCTCTCTTAGCTTTTTTATTGCATCTGTTTATAACCTTGTATGTGTTTTTAAAATCACAAGCTTTTAAGAACTTTGACATAGTTTATCAACTTGTTTACAACATAAGGCCCAGTAGGAGGATTAACAAAGGTCTTGTAGCTGTCATTAAAGCTATTAACCAAAAGGAGAAAGAAAACCAACATTTAAATTTACTTTGTTTTATCATACAAGTAACAATTTTTAAGTCAGACAGAGGCCTCCTTGGGGTCTCTATAAAGGAGGAGAACACAAAATTATCAGTTATATTGGACAATCTTAAGCTTTAAAGTGTCCTTGGAAGAAATGACAGTTTACTTATTTGTAGGCTGACGGTCTTTTGAAGTTGGGACTTGTCTGCATTGGGAACGTTGAATCTAGGCAGGCTTTTAGCTATTTTGACAATCTATTGCGGCTTAAGAGATTTACGGTGAGGTCGCTCTCAAGAGATTTACGGTGAGGTCGCTTGTCTAGGTGTCTAGGCTCTTTAGCTGTAGTGGGCAGCAGCGAAGTAACCAGTGGATGGAAGTCACAGCTAGTTGAAAAGTCTGGGGAGACTTAATAAGATCTTGATTAGTTAAATTAGCTAATTTCTAGAAACCTTCTCACATAAAACCTCAAAAGAGGAAATATCTGCAACATAGGGGGTGTATCACGCATGTAAAGGTGCAGAAGGAAAAGAGACTCACCCAGTTTTTGCCAGTTTTTAAGGCCATTAGTAATTATAGTCTTTAAAATCTAACTTATCTTTTTACCTTTTTTGAACTCTGAGGCTGGTAAGCCCAATCGAGTTTTTTTTTTTTTAATCGATCTGTAAAGCTTAGGTTAATTTGAGTTACTAGGCTATAAAAGCCAGGCCATTGTTGGACCCCACGGATAAAAAGGGAGACCAAATCAGAGAAACTGCTATCAGAGCTGACTCAGACTAAGTAGAAAACACTTATATTTTTGAAGTTTAGGCTTTTTATTTTTGTAAAATCTATTTTTTAGTGTTTTTAGGCATAGTCCCACGATAACCAGTGGTTTTTATTTGTTGTAGTACTTTTAGGTTTATCAATTGGCACTGAGGGCATCTGAAGCTCACAGACTGGGCTAGCTTGATATTAGCCCCCGGAATCTCTTGGAAGTTGAGCTGCCAGATGCTGGTCTTTCTAAGTGTAAATGGGCTCTTGAGAGACATAACTGTTTTCATCAGAGAAGTAGGATGGAACTCTAGACAGTAGCTTATCAACTAGATAAGGTCGATGTTCCGTGAGGTGATCAATGAGGCAACGAGGGGTCATCCTCAGGCAGCAAAGTAGCCGAGTTTGAAGCTGTTGTTTTCAGAAATAGTGCCTGATAATGTATGGCTCAGGAATTAGACATCCATCAGTCTGGTGGGACCTTGATGAGAGTCTCCAGTGAATAGGAGGAAACAATTAAGAGTTTGTGTCCAAAAGTCAATTTTTAAGCCTCCTTTATGAGGGGGCCATTGAGGAAATCACTGCTGACCGGGTGGTCATCTGGCTGCCACAGAACCAAGTCTCTTGGAAAGGTAGGCAACAGGCCTCTGCCAGGGTCCCAAACTCTGGATCAGTCCTGTGGCTCTTAGAAATTTTGTACTTGTCTTTTAGTCACAGGGACTGGAATCCGTTAGATGGCTCACAACAACCAGTGTAGTCTTTTTTTTGTGTAGACTGGTTCTGATAAGGTCAGGGGGACTCGCATCAGAGCAGTTACTTTTTCGGCTGGCCTCTCTGATGTGATTGTTACTCTTTTAGCGGCCTGATCTGCCAAATTGTTTCCTCAGGTGAATAGCAGCAATCTGCTGACAGCCAGACTGCTGCCAGCAAATTTAGGATTTGTGGAGCCCTTTTTTTTTTTTTTTTTTAATCTTAGCTCTGGCCAAGGTTAAGAGACCTCGCTCTTAATAGATGGCTCTATGTATATGTATAGTAGCAAAAGCATATCTACTATCAGTATAGATGTTTACCCTCTTTTTTTGTGGCTAGTTTTAGTACATCAGTCAAAGCAATGAGCTCCGCCTTTTGGGCAGAGGTGCCAGGCTCTAACCCTTTAACCCAGAGTACCTCCTTTTTGGTGGTCATTGTTGTCCCGGCCACTCATCTGTCTCTGTCGTTCTGGATGAAGCTGCTTCCATCGAACAGTTGTCGGCATTTTCCAAAAGCTGGTCAGTAAGATCAGCCTGTAGGTTCCGCTGTAGTTTGAGGATGTCAGCACACTCATGGAGAGGTGTCCTTTGTTTCTCCAGGTCATCATCAGGCATAAGGGTGGCTGGGTTTAAAGCTGAAGAAGTCTTGAATATCACTGACTCTGGGTCTAGAAGCAGGGCTTGACAGTAGAATTCTGGCATTGGAGAGCCTTTTTTAGGAGGGGTTTTGATAAGAGTCTCTAAACTGTGAGAGGTTACCACAGAAATTACTTGCCTAAAGCGAGTTTTTTTTTGTCTCCTTAAGTAGCATTGTCACAGTAGCTAGTATTTTTAGGCAGGGGGCCATACTCCTGTTACTGGATTCAGTCTTTTGGAGAGGTAGGCTATAGGCCTCTTTTAAGGGCCAATGTCCTGAGTGAGGACTCTTTTGGCAATGTCCCTGAGTTTATCTATGAACAAGATGAAAGGCTTGGTAACGTCAGGGAGTCCCAGGGCTGGGGCCTCTGTCAAGGCCCGCTTGAGCTGTTGGAAGGCCTGTTTACATTTATCAGTCCAGTTCAGCGAATTTTGAGTTTCTCCCTTATGGGAGTCATATAGAGGCAAGCGTTTTAGTAAAGTTTAGCCTACAGTATCCAATTGCCCCCCAGAAACTCTCGTCTGTTTTTTAAAAGTTTTTTCTCATAGAGCAATTTTAACATCTTGGCTATCTTTTTGTAAATTTTTTAGTTCTCAAAGACCTTTTTGTGCTATCTCTATTAACTGGCTGAGGGGCATTTTTTTAAACCTCTCAAACCTTTGTAATTTTTGTCTAACATGTGGGGCCGACTGAGTTATAAAGAGAACAACTGGCGATACTGGGAAACCTCCTTACCTCTGGATGTCCAGTCAGGGTAGCACAAAAGGAGAACATGGTTTTGGCATTCCGGATCAGAGTGCCGGCTTCATCTGGATGGCACACTGCTTTTTGTCCAAGGGTGTCACATGGCAGGCCATCATTTTATTAAAATTATATTCTTAACAAAAAGGGCTTTTTCACAGGTAACAAAATTGTGCTGTATAATCTCCCAGATGTTTACAGCACATGTAAGAATTTGTATCTTATTTTCAGTATCACCTATAATCTTATTTTAATGAAAACATTTTGCAGCAAAGTACAATCTTATGTATACTTTTACCAAAACTGATCTAATACTGTCAAATTTTAAACACATTTACTTTTTGTCAAACCTGTTATTTGCAGTACTATAAATCAAGACAAATAAAATTCACATCCTCTTGAGCCTTCTACAACTTACAATAATACCTCTCAAACTAAGCTTTAATCTTTTTTCATATTTTGGCATAGCCAGACACCTTTACTTGAAGACCACTCTCTTTGTCCCTCTTTTTACTATTACCAGTCAATTAACTTTTTTTTATTTCTCAGACAACATCAAAACTCTCAACAAAACCCTTGAAGTCACCTTTTAGTAGTCCAAAACATACTTATTTTATGTCTTTTTACCACATAAAAATGCTGTATTTTAAAAACAAAACTGTAACTTTTTAACTGGCTCAAATATACTACCATCTGGTTTTTACTTGGTAAAGTTGATATGATTTTTAATAACCATAGATATACATATATATGTGTACATGTTTACATTTTTACCAGAGAGGAAAAAATACTCCTTTTAAAAGGTATGTTGAGGTTGCAAGCAATCAATTGAAGTCTTACATATTAAACAAGGCACCACAACATTAAAGACACAAACAAAGGGAGCTTCTTGCATAGTTTGGTCAGCTAAAGGAAATAATTTTTTTTATCATGAACCTTGAATCTAATAAGCCATATGGATCCTGCAACAGAAATGGGCAACAAGCCCCTAAGTTAGTAACAAGTTTAAACAGGCAATCAAGGAGAGGGCGGAGGAAGGAAGGGTTTTACCCACGGTGGGGGCTCCTCCCTGAGGTCCTGTCATACCAAGATGTAGGCGATCCGGTCGGGGTGGCCCTCTTGTCCAGGGCAGAAGATGATGTTCTTAACTGCTAAGATGAGGGGAAGGTGGAAAGTCCCCTCTGGTGGCCATCCCACAGAAAAAGTAGGCCACTCAGTCGAGCAGAAATCCTGTTATTTACTCTTCTTGACCTGTAAGGAGAGATTGTGAGCCCTCTTCCGCACCTCCGACCAATGGTCGAGGGTGAGGGACAATGGGGATGAGGTCGACTGTCCCATGATGTTCTATAGTCACAGGGCGGTTAACGCAAGCACGATACAACAGATAACCAATCACAACACCCACGACACACAGGACAAACAGGCCGGCCACCTCACTCTCACGCATCAGTTTCACTCCAAACGAGCCACCTTACAGGGTGTCTCCGAATTGGCCCGGACGGACCACAGATTGGGAACGAAATTCCCCGAACGAGTCACCTCAGAGGGTGTCTCCGAATTGGCCCGGACGGACCACAGATTGGGAATGAAATTCCCCAGATTGGCCCAGACGGACCACAGATTGGGAATGAAATTCCCCAAACCGATAGGAAAATCCTATCGCAGACGGTGAGTCACGGAAAACCGTGTGGGGCGTCCCCCGGTCACCAGAGAACAGAGAACAGATAACAAAAACAGGTAACAAAAATTGCCCGGTTGGCTCGGGGCGTAAAATACCGGTAGATTGATCCTCAGAGTAAAAATAAGAAGCGACCGGTCGTACTCACCCGCGGTGTAAGGCGGAGCCGTTGAGGTCGTCTCCCGTGAGACGTACTATCTCGCTGGGGCCTCCATATGTAAGAACCGGTGTCGCAGGGGAGAAGACCCCAAGGACTCAGCTCGTAGTGAGGAGTAAAAAGTTTATTTCCATGCGCATGGGGTCCCCCAGGCAAACAAGTGCGGAGGGCCCCGAGGGGGAATTGTGTAGGGTTTTTAAGGGCGCAGGGAGGCAAGCGAATTTACAGAAGCAGATTGCATTGGTTAATTTTGAGCAGCATAGGATTTGGCAGAAATTGATTGGAGGGGTTTGGGGTTGAGTAACCATGGAGACTGGGGGTCCTAGCCCAGTCACTATGTGCCCAGAACAGAACAGTTACTTGTCTTACTTATCTCGTTGAGACAGAACAACCTTGCAGGTGCATTCTTTCTTTTTTTTTTCTCTGCTCTGATAGCTCTGGGGAGTTAGGCATTTCTTTCTGCTCTGCTCTGATAGCTCTGGGGAGTTAGGGAGTTAACCCTTTTATTCCCCCGCTCTGGGGAGTTAGGGAGTGAAACATTCTTTGCTGCTTTTTATAACTCGGGGAGGGGGTTATAGCAGGGGGGTCAACTCTCACAAGGTCAGCTCCCAAAATTTAACTCCTGGAACAGCAGGGGAACTTAAGAGCCCAGTTCCAGCACGGTTGCCACCTACATGGAATGGTTGATCCTCCTGTTCTTTAGTTATTAGTATTTTACACATCATCTCTTAGAAGTCTGAGATCCCACTGAGGACCTCCTCACACCTAGCTCTGGGGCTGATCGTGAACTTCAGCGTTCTACTGGGCATGTCTGGCGGAAGAAACAGCATTGATTGATTGGGTAAGACTGACTGGCAGTTGTGGGTACAGACAGAGAAACTTAGGAACCCCAGGCTGGCTGGAAGAGTGTGGTATGTGGGGCCTGGACTGATTTGTCATGAAATTTTAAACCCTGGCTATGGCTATTACAAAGAAAAGGAAAGAGGCTGATGATATGTGTGTAGCTCAAAGTAAGTGAACCGAAGAGGAGGTCTTTAAAGGTCTTACTGGGTGGAAACACACATAATTAAAGTAAGGTCCCTAATTCAGATCCTTCAAGAAACCCAGCTGGCAATCGCCATCTTTCATTGATTTCAAACGCGCACACTTGCTTTGGTATTTCCACATCTCTGAAATTAGAAGACGTATGACAATCGATGGCCAGTCACATGTTATATATAAAAGAAGTGTCCTATAATTAAAGATGCTTTAAATTATATGAAATTCAAGAAGTGAGCGGTATAAGCAAGCAAAATCCCATTTCTCTCTGTCTGCCTTTCACCTCCAAGGAAAGATTAATTCAGAGACCGTGTCATGGCTTGTGTCTAGATGTCCCCACAAGTCCTCATGTGATCATACTTGGAGCTTTTTCTGAGGTGACTCAATCTAGACTGTGTGATACTGGGATTAGGATGTGTGGTTACTAAGTCAATACACAGATTGGTTTGGCATAGTTCTGGGTGGGATTAAAGGTGGCCCACCCTGGGTGTGAGTGCTACCTCAGTGGGCAGAAAGAGGGCTACTGGGTTTGCTTGTGGCTTGCTGTTTGCTGCCTTCTGCCTGTCTGCTCTGTGGTACCCCCCTGCCATGTGCCACCCGGCCTTGGAACCAGCCAGTGACGAACTGGAACTTCTATAAACTATGAGCCAGACTAAACTTTGGATGTCAAGTATTTTGTCTTAGCAGCGAGAAAAATGTAAGACAGAGCTATTCTTACATGATAAGGAAATAACACAAGAGTAGTGACAAGTATTAAGTACTTTGCTGCCTTCTGGATGAGGAGCCAATAGATCATGGTGACAACTGGCAAACCAAAGGGTACCCTGGCTTCCAGAGGAGCAGCCCACTGCCCTGGCTGATGGGCTGTAGTGACAGATGCCCAGTATTGACAGGCATTCTACGTTTTCAAAGGATGGTTAAAAATGCAGTTTAGCTAAGTGTGTTGGCACCCATCTGTAATCCCAACACTTGGGAGGCAGAGGCAAGAGGATTGCCATGATTTGGAAGCCAACCTGAACTACACAGTGAGCCCGAGGCCAGCCTGAACTACATAGCAAGACTGTCTTAACAGAAGAAAAGAAAAGCAGTTGGCATGAAACTCCTAATTTTCAAGTCATGGCTCAATTTATTTTATCTAGCAAAAAAAAAAAAAAAAAAAAAGCACAGATTAGATCCAGGCAGTGATCATTCAGCTTCTATATGACTTTCATCTAAAGATGCATTTACTTCATTAGGAAGCAGCATGAGGGCTGTGGATTTAGCTCAGTGGCTTAAGCACTTACCAGGCAAGCACAAGGTCGTGAGTTCAATCCCCGGTACCAAAAAAAAAAAAAAAAAAGAAGCAGCAGCAGCAGTAATATGAGACAAACCACTTTTTATAGCGAAGCCAAAAAAAGCAAAATCCATTTCAAAATTTAACACCTGGCTCCTGGGTCTAGAATGGAAGTATTGTAGAGTTGTTACTTAAATTACTTTAATTTTTTTTCTCCTTCCCTCTCAATAGAATGTAAGACAATGTGGTTAAATCTATTGAAAATGCTGCACTTCCTGTTTGTAAAAATAGGTGACCACTTTGAACACACAGACTCAGGCTTCCAACGCAACAGCGTTTGCTTCTCATAGCTGTAGACAGTGATCACCAAGAGACAGAACGATGGAGCAGAGAATCATCAAGTCACCAAAAGACCAGGCTCCATTCTGACCCTTGGTGTTCTGCAAGTTAATTTAGTGCCCTTCGGCTCCGTTGCCTGCATTTATAAAACAGGGGTAGTAATACCTGCCTGCCGCACCTCCTGTGAGTTTATTCCTGGCCATGTGAGGTGCACCATGGCGGCGAGCAGAGAGGCCGGGGTAAACATCAGCGGTTCGCGTTGCCCTGGTCCTGTGGACTGAATCTCATTGCGGTCTGTGGCTCTTTCTCTAGACCGTAGATATCTCACCAGTGGGCTGAACAGATGAGGAAAAACAGCAAGAAGATATTTTTAAAAGTCAGCCACATCTTGGAATCTGAAATAGTACTGAGTCTCCGTTGAGGGAGTTGAGGCCAATCTTGGATGATAAGCTTGCAGGATTAAACTTTAACTTTGTAGTTCAGTCACCTGATTTGTACATCAGCCTGGGGAAATTTCAATTTGACCTTTAGCTGTTTCCTTCCCTCCTTCTTTCATATTTTGAGTCTTTTTTGCTTTATAAGGAAAAGAAAAGCCCTGCTTTTTTCTTGGTGAGTATCTTTTTCCCAACAATGTAAAGCTCTACGTTAGAAATGGAAGGAGTCAACACACTACTTTGATAACCCATTTCCAGTCTGTTTCAACTCTTGCATCTAGACAATCTCAAATCCTGTTGAGAAGTAAGCATGAATAGGGTGAACATTGTTAAGGGGAAAAGAAAAATTAATGTCTTTCAGAAGCTCTCACTCCAAACTAGTATAACTTCAAGTTGGACCATGTAGGAAAACTTACTCCTGTAACGTCAGATTTACTTTGAGGAAAGTACATTGATTGCCTCGTTGAAGTGACAAGTCCACGCTGCTTGCATTACTTCTGTTCATGGCATTACTCTTTTAGGGGTTCATGTACTTTTTCTATAAAGGACCAGACAGTGAATGTTTTAGGCTTTTCTTTATTTTTTAAAGGGGCTTTTTTTGGTGGTATTTTAGGCTTTTAGAAGCATAAGATTTCAGTCACAACTGTTACCTCTGTTACTGTAATCCAAAAGCAACCTACATAGACAATGTGTAAGTAAATGATCACGACTGTATTCCAATAAAACCTCATTCATCAAAACGATAGGTTTGACCGGTGGCCTTAGGGTCCCAGAATGAAACTGTCAGACTCAGACTTGACTGTCCGCTATCAGGGTGCACATCCGAGCAGCTCTCAGGTAACAGTGATTATCCCTTTCAGTAATTCCCCTCATTCTTTTCCCGCTGCTGATTGGATGTTCTGTACAATCACAGTTACATATTTTTTTCCACTTGAGGTAAGCAGGGTGTCTTGTTCTTTTTCTGATTCTTACTGGTAGTGATAGCTAGGAAATTTGTACCTAAAACTCAGAGTCACAGAGATTTTCACATCAAGGTTTTTATCTTTTTAAGTGCTAAACTTAGCCCTGTGTTACATTCTGAGTTAGTTCTTATATCTATAGTGAGATTGGGATCAAAGAGGGTTTGGTTTGTTTTATTTGTTTTAATGTGAACTTTCAATGACTCCAAAATCATTGTTGACTACTACTTTTTCTCTGATGAAATGCCTGGGCCTCTCTGCCAGTGATCAGCTGTTTGTGTATGTGTGGGTCTGGATTCAGACTCTATTCTGTTCCATTAATCCATTTTTAAGACGTTTTAATAGCAGTACAAACTGCCTTGTCTATGTAGCTTTATAATCTTGGACAAAGTCACGGTTAACCCTCCAGCTCAGTTACAATGTTCCAGTGTTGTTTTGGTTTGTAGGTCCTTTGCATTTCTATATGCAGTTTAGGAATTTCCTCTATTCCTACCCAAAATGAAAACAAAACAAAGTTCAAGCAGGTATTTGGACTGAGATGGCTTCCAATGTTTAGATTACTTTGGGAAGAATTATAAACTTTCCATTTATTTAGGACTTCTTTAGTTTATCTCAGTAGTATCGTTTATTTTTATTTAGAGCTTAAGAATTTGGCAAGTTTATGCCAAATTATTAAAAACATTTCCTCTTTTTGATGCTAGTGCACATTAAATTTCGATCTGACTGTTCATTGCTGATATATAGAAATATTTTTCATTCTCCAACTTTCCTAAGCTCACTTGTTATGGTAGTTTGTTTCTTTTTCTTTTTCTGTCTTTTGGGGTGTGTGTGTGTGTGTGTGTGTGTGTGTGTTATATCAGACACCTTTGGGAATAAAAGCAGTTTTCCTTCTTCCTTTCTGATTTGCATCTATTTTATTTGAGTTTATTTCCTGATGGATTGCATGGGTTGTGAGCTCCAATGCTGAATAGAAATGTTGAGAGTACATCTGTTGGTCGTGTTTCTGATCTTAGAAATACTGCATTTAACCAGGTATAGTAGCACGCACTTGTGATTCTGCTACTCAAAGAGTTCAGGCTGGAGGATTGCAGGTTAAGGCCAGACCAGGCAACTCAATGATACTTTTTGTCCAAAAAGAATTCAAAAAATTATGGAGAAGAAAAGCAAGGGCAGGGATATACAGTTCAGTGATGCAGTGATTGGCTAGTATGCGGGAAGTCCGGGATTCGAGCCCCTGGGCATAGGGAAAGGAGAGGGAGGGGGAGGCGGAGGGAGGCAGGGGGACCCGTTTTTCACCTTTCAGTCTGATGCTAGGTTTTTCAGAGATGCCTTGCTTGTAGCTGAGGAAGTACAATTCTGTTTGCACTTTATGAAGAGTATTTTAAAAATCAGGATTGGGTGCTAGATACTAGGTTTTGTTAAATGTTTCTTTGTAGATTGAAATGATCATGCAGTCTTCCTTGTCTCTTAATCACCTGCTGATTTTCAGATGTTAAGCCAGTCTTGCATTATTGGGATAAACCCCACTCAGCCACGATGTGTTTTCCCTTTCATTACTTGTTGGGTCTCACTTACTAAACTGTTGTTGTGAGTCTCTGCGTCTGTATTTTGGAGGCACACCGATCTGCAGTTTTCTTTTCTGGTCGCATATTCATCTTAGTTTTGTATCAGGGCTCTGGAGGGGGTCACAAAATATTCTCTCTTCCATCTTCTCGAAGAGGGTGTGGCCTTGGTGTACCAGCTTTGGTAAATGTCTGGCAGAATTCACGGAGGACCCATCTAGTCCTGCAGTTTTTTGATTGTAGTGACTTTTTTTATAATATTTTTTATTTCATTGATGTGTTTAGTAATATTGTTTACTTATTATTTTCTTCTGTTTATTTTGTGTTTCATTTTCTTTGCTTTGTTGTTGTTGTGTTTGAAGGTAAACCAAGGCCATTAGTCTGAGACACTGGTATTCCTCTAACACAGGTATTTAATGTTATAAACTTTCCAGCAAGGTCTGCCTTTGTGGCACCCTGGCATTCTTGTATGTTGTGCATTTCTGCTCACTTAGTTTAAATGAGGTTTAATTTACTTTTTTAAAAAATTTCTTCTTTGACCCATGGTTTATTTAGAAATCTGTTTCTCAGTTTCCAAATATTTGGACACTTTCTAGATAACTTTCTGTTATTGATTATGGTTTAATCCACTGTGAGCAGAGGAAGATACACTTTATAAGACTTGGATTCTTATAAGCTTATTGACACTCATTTTATGACACTAAGTACAATGCCTTAGTATGCACACTTGAAAAAAAATATATGTATTCTTTCATTGGTGCAGGATTCTGATGGTCCAAGTCTTCTGTATCCTCACTGGTTTTCTGAGTAAACTCACTATAATTGAGAATTTATCTATTTCTTCTTATAGTTTTATCTACTTTTGATTTGAAAGTGTTAATAGCTATATAAACATTTGGAATGATTGTATCTTTTTGATGAATTAATCCCTGTATCATTAAACTACTTTTTTTAAACCTTTGATAATATTTTTTTATCCTTGATTTTATCTATATCTATATCTATCTATCTATATATATATTTACTCTGAGTTTGGTTTTAACTAGTTTTCAGATTTTATTTTCCATTGTCTCGTATTTAACCCAATTGTCTGTCTGTATTTAAATTCCTTGTAAGCTACACGAACTTAGATTTAGATTTTTTTATTCAATATGCCAATCTCTATCTCAATGAAGATTCACAGGCCATTTACATTTAATGTAGTTAAATTTATGTGTGTCTTCTTACTACTTTACATCTTTCCACCTGTCTTTTGTTCATCTTTTCCTCTTCTAACTGGCTTATTTTTACGACTTATTTTTTCCTTTTGAAGACAGGGGTGTCTCACTCTGTAGGTCAGACTAGCTTTGAACTCACTGTGTAGCCCAGGCTGGCCTCAAACTCACAGTGATTCTCCTGCCTCGGCCTACTGAGTGCTGGGATTACAGTCATGTGCCGCCACGCCAGGCTGTAACTCCATTTTTATCTTTGTTGCTGGCTTATTGTTTATAAATCTCTATTTTGTCATTTTAGTGATTACTGTAGCTTTATACTATATACTAGTGATGGCAAACCTTTTAGAATTTTCAGTGATAACAAACAGCCGGCTGCGGCACGAGTGCCAGGGGTTCGCCATCAGTGCTGTGTGTCTTTACCTTACCCGCGTGTACCTTCATATAATGTTGTATTATTTCACATGTTATTTAAGGCCTCTTCCTTTCTGCATCAGGATTAGCTGGAGTTCAACTGACCTGATGACTTCTTTCTCGTGAACAGAGTACTTGTTTTAGCTGATCCTGTTCATCAGTCCATTAAAGGAATCCGACCAGCCACCTTGACCTTTGGGATGTGCTGTTACTCATTTCAAAGAAATTATAGAGTTGAAACTTAACTAATTTCTTCCTTCAGTTTCCACAGGGCAGGTGTGTGTGTGTGTGTGTGTAACTATGGAAGTTATTTAACACCTTCATCTTCATTTTTCATTCCAAAACCAGAGGACAATGTATATAAAAGTATGCAAGAGTCACAGGAAACCCATATATCCAACCACCTAGATGAAGTTGTTGCTGCCGTCAGCATCAATCCTAGAAAGACCCCGAATCCGCTGCCTCAGACGCTGCTGTTCCAGCCTCCTCGGGAGAAACTGCACCTCTGTGAGGAGAAAGCCAAGGCCCACTTCAGCAGTCACCAAGTAAGGAGCCTTTCCATTCCCCCGCCGTTCTTTGGCAATGGAACTGCCGTACCACAAATGACTGAAAGTCAATAGATTACATTCCTAACTCCAGGACTATGACAAAAAGAGTACGTGAGAGAAAGCCTCTGTCAGATCACAAGTGAATTAAGACCTCTGGGCTGAAGCTCACCGCTTGGCATGGGCAGTAATAAATACTGGCCGGGCTTCTACCCTGTGCCAGCTCTAGCCATTGGAATATAATACAGGGGAGATGAAGCTTCTGTGCCCCCAGAACTTAGAACTCTGTTTTTGGCATCTTTTCCCCCATTTCCCCCTCAGAGGTTTTATTCATCCTGATGTGCCAGGCCCTGTCTGCCCATTCATTAGTTCATAAATACCCATCGTATGCCTGATATGTGTTGGAGGTCATGCAGGCCACAGCCCCTGCCTGCGTGGATGTATGGTTCAGTGAGGTGACAGACAGGAGTGCAGGTCCTGGTGGGCAGTGTGATGATTTCTGTGGTGGACACAGCTCGGGGTGAGGTAGATACAAGACAGAAGGGTGGGCGAGGATCCTGGAGGTGACAGCAGTTGAGGCGCACTTCTTGGCCTGCCCAGGTCACAGTCGGGTGAGGGAGGTGTCCAAAGAATTCTGGCCAAACACTGTGGATGGGTAAGAACCCCGGACCAGAGGGAGCGCAGTCTGACTGAAGACCTAGAAGGAGCTGTGGGGATGAAGGTTTTAGTGAGGTTTTGTGGGGAAGAGCTGGAGCCTGGAGGGCACTCACTGCCCTGCAAAAGTGTTTAAAGGTCCTAGAGGAATACCCAGGATTATACTAGGATTATAAACCAGGGAAACCTGTGAGCAGGTTTGAGTTTTAAGAATGATCATTCCCAGAGTAAGTAGAGGAGGGAAGTTATGGAGATACAGGTGATCACTCTGGCAGGGGATGATGAGGGCCTGAACTGATGCAGCAGAGGCAGGAGAGAGGCTGAGAATGTAGCAGTGCAAATCAGCAGGCGTGGATGGCAGGAGAGGCGAACACCAGGCAGAGGGGTGTGCGGAGCCCGGTCGAGGTCCTGGCCCTGGTCAAGGTCCTGGCCCTGGTCGAGGTCCTGGCCCTGGTCGAGGTCCTGGCCCTGGTCGAGGTCCTGGCCCTGGTCGAGGTCCTGGCCCTGGTTGCCCCTGGTGGTCGGGGCGCCTTGCTCCTGCCCTTCCTACATGCCGTGAGTACAGCAAGAAGAGCAACATCATGGCAATTGGGCATGAATTTGGCTCTGAGCATGTGCTCGCTCCTGCGCCAGGCCATCTGCTAGCCAAGCTGCCAGCCAGCAGCCTCCTCAGCCAGAGTTCAGCCAGAGAACGAATCCCTAATGCCCAAAGGCATTTAGTGCTTCTCTCCGATGAAGAATTCCTGGGTTCTGTGGGCCAGATGAGGAACCCAGGGGTACAACAGTGAATAGGATGAACAAGGCACATGTCCTTATGGCCGAGGACAACTGACCCTGTAAATAAACCAGATCGTCGGAGATTGCGGTAGTGCTAGGGTAGGAACACCGTGGGCTCATTTTGGGCAGGCCGGCCTGGGGAGGCGTGTGAGGCGATGACAGCTGGAAGGAGCCCACACGGAGAGGCTGAGGGAAGGAGTTCTAGAGAGGAAACGCTACTCAGGCTGTACGCAGGCATGGGTGTGCGGTGTTCCCAGTGAGGAGGGAAGCCTGTGGGTTGGAGAAGTAATCAGTTTAGTTATTCTCTTGCCTGTCACATGCTGGGTACCTGGAGAGATCTTTAAAAATGTCAGCGAGTCATCCATGTGGTACAACTCACTTTGCACACTGTTTGATATTTGGTGATTTTTAAAGAATAATTTTAACATTGCTAAAGTTAACAGTTCACCAGATATTAACATTTGCTTTATTTCTTTTTTAACGTGTTTTGGTGCTTGGGATTAAACCCAGAGTCTCCACAGTTCAATCCATGAATTCCTACTGAATACTGTTTCTCCCATGCCTTACCCTCTTATTGTTTTGGAACAGGGTCTCACTATGTAGTCCACAGTAGCCTTGAACTTCTGTCCTTCTGCCTCAGCCTCCTGATGCTGGGCTTTAACGCACGCATCTCTGTGTCCAGCCTGCCACATCTCCTCCGTCTCCGTTGATCTCCAGGGCCTTAACTTACTGCTCACAATCTTGATAGTTCTCAGAAGTACACTCAAGTTACTTTGTAGAATATCTCTTTATTTGAATTTGGGTTATATTCCTTCATGCTTTTATTCCACTTGCACATTCGGGGCAGCAGTACTGCAGGCAAGATGTTAGAGACCTCCTTCGTGTTTGTACCAGAAAATACAGACTGCTCACTGGTCTCCTCACGGCGGTACTAACCTTGAATGCTTGGGTAAAGCGCTATCTGACAGATTTGTTCATGGTGGAGTTACTTCTCTGTTTGTAATTAATAAGCACCTTATGGGGAGAGTCACTGAGACTCTGGAAACACGCAAGCCTAAGCTTTAGCATCCACAGATGATTCCTACCGGAATCTGTTATTATCTGTGATGCCTGTCAAATAACGAGCCTCTGACTCCAGTATGTTTGCAACCTCTGTTTGTATTTCATCGTAGGGAAGAGCTTTTCCTTCTTCACACTTTATGTATTATTCATTTATACCCTGAAGGGTTCAGGAAGCCCTGTTTTACAACAGGACTGTGATGTGTTACAGCCCATTAATTTCATCGAAGCTTCAGTCGGCTGGTATTTGCCAGTGGGAGTGGCTTCAAGCTGGCAAGTCCTGGAGCATGCTCTTATTCTCTGTACGCTTTCTTACTTTCTGGCACAAAAATTTTCAGGTTCATTGTGGACTTTCCGTGCTCTAGTCCTGGCTTCCAAGAACCCTGGTTCCTGATCTACTCCCAGGCTATTCAGAATGGAAAAAAAAATTTTTTTACACCTAAATGCCCCACAATGGTGACTAGGTAACTCAGTTATGATGCAACTATACAATAAGCACTGTGCTGCCATTAAGATTTATAGAGGTCGCCATGAGCCTATTTTGAAAGGAAAAATGTATGAGTGGGTAAAAATACAGAATAATGGGCTGGGCTGCTTAGCATCCTGATTTTATCTTCATGAAGTGAACTTGTGACCTCTCAGAAGCGTTAAAGGCTCTGTCTCCAACGTGGCTGCATTCTTGGGTATCAGAAGTTGTGACCTAAACATATTGATTCGACAAAGACACAATGTAACCCATATCCAGGTTCCAAGTATGACAAAAAAGAGAGGACGTGAAAGTCATTAGTTCCTTGAGGCGTGGGCCTAAAAACTGGCAGTGTGTCATTTCTTCCATGTTTTATTGGCTAAACTGTCATAAAGCAAGTCAGTCTCGAGGAGCTGGGACCTCACGGGGTCCCTACTTCTCAGTAGCCCTAACTCCTTTAATAAAGTCCTGATGGCCCCACTAACTATGATAATGTCATAGGTTGCTCGTGAGACCTTCAAACTGAGCCCCCAAGCGTGTTATTTGAAAACCACTACCACCATCCACTTATAGCAGACCGTGTAGGAGCTGCTCATTGATGGACAGCTGGAAAACCTACTTCTGTATTTTTCTTTATTTCATTATATTCTCCACCTTTACGTGTACTGTATGTATTTATTTCTTATATCTGCTGTATATTTTGTTCTCTGATGTATCTCAAGTGCTCAGAACCATTCTTAGCACCGAGTCATTAATAAATAATTGTCGAATGAATGAAAGTATATTTTGTGCTTTGGGACACTTAACAACTGGTGCATTCATTTGACTGTCCTAACAGTATAAACAGGCTGTCCAGGAGCTGGCACGCTGCGTAGCTTTGGCGAGGATTTGCTACGGTGACTGTCACTGGAGACTAGCAGAGGCGCACGTGAACCTGGCCCAAGGCTATCTCCAGATGAAAGGTGAGTTCATCCCAGGCGGGCAGGGTAAGCGGGTTGGTTTCCGAGGTTCTTTCAGGTTTGATTCCCACCTAACGGGAAGGATCAGTTTTTTAAATTATTCTCCTTTCCAAATACAGATAACCCATTTCCTTTTAGGGAGAGTCAGTAAGGTGTACAACACATAAATCTTTGAAGGAGAAAAGGAAGATTGTCCCTTTGGGTGTATCTTTTTATAAGCTTAACATCAAGGTTCCTAGGAGATGATTAATCTGTTAGGTCAGAAGGAGTTGCAGAAAAAAGCTAAGACATAAAATAGGGCCTTAGAATGGACTCCATTCACACTTTTCTTGATTGAAAGTCTCTTGATGTAAGTAGCCACAACAGGACCATGAAGGTTCCCAAAACTATTGTAACTGAAAAACGTATGAGCCCACACAGCTTAAAAATTCAAAGGTAAAACTGCCTTTGGTCCTGGCCATAATGAAGCTCAAACAGTGTGACCAGGATTCAGTTTCTCTCTTTTCCAGCACTTGGCTCTGTTTTTCTTGGCATTGGCTTCATTCTTAGCCAACTTGTGCCCACACAGGGGCAGCATGGCTGCCAGCAACTTTAGGTTTGCTTTCTAAGCATTCTCAGAAGAAAAAAGAATGCCCTGCCGCTAAAACATGCCAAGGTTTGGGGGCATCCCAGTTAGAGCTGCTTGGTGTGATTAGGGTTTTATGTCAAAGGCAAGGAATATCCAGGCATGGTGGTGCATGCCTACAATCTCAGCGTGTGGGAGGCTGAAGCAGGAGGATCATTGTGAGCTGGAGGACAGCCTGGGCTACATAGTGAGTTCAAGGCCAGCCTGAACTGCTGAACTGCACAGCAAGACCCTGTCTTTAAAAAAAAAAAAGGCAAGGAGCAGTGTCACTGGCCAGAGCTGACTTTTGGCTCCCCCGGGTGCTGGGGAAGAAGCTACCTTTGCCCAGATGTCATGGGTTGCATATGCAGGTGTGGAGTGTCCCAGAGGGAAAGCAGAAGAGGGGAGAATCCATGGATACAGGGGAGGCAGAAACACCAGACATCCAGGGCGTGGCATTTGCTGTGCAGCTTAGGACAAGATTACAGGCAAGGGCACATCTCTACCTGCGCTCAGCTCCTTCAGCTGAAAAGTGGCGGCAAAGGATGGAAGTGATACCTACTTCCAGCGTGGTCCGGTGAATAAAGGAAACAGTCATGGTAGAAAACACCACAGTGCCAGGCGGACCGCTGCCATCCAATTACTGTGCTCACGTCTTAGTGCAGACTAGTTTTACCTATTAGGTGGAGGATCGTTAGCACCAGAGGCCACCTTGGACAGCGTCTTACCTAGCCCCTCCCATTTCCTAGATTAAGAGGAGACAGCAAATCCCAGTGGACACATCCTGCCCCAGATTGCGCTGTTAATAAGCCGCCAGTGTGAGACTCAGACCCAGAATCTCACACCCCAACACCAGTGCCCTGCAGTCGGGGATTTCCAGTGATGTTCTTTTGCAGCTCACTCCTTTCCTGGTTGTCTTTCTCAATTTAACAAAAACCAGTATCCACTATTTAACAAGGATGCCTGAGTAAGGGCGTTGTGGTATTTTCCATGTATAGCCTTTTTCAGTCTGTACACCATCTCATGAGGTAGAGGTTTTTATCACCCTGTTTACACTGGAGGAAACTGAGGCCAATATTTCCTGCCCGGTGGCCAAGCAGGCAGTTCCTCCCAGGCAGTCTGACTTCGGAGTTGGTGTTCCTGGACCTGAACCTACTCTGTGTCCAGCACACTGAGTTCAAGTTCTTAGGGAAAAGACCATTTTTGGACATACGGCCCCCGGGCCTTTTCTTAGACTGCAAAAACAGTGAACACTAATCATGGTCCTGCAGGCTGAAGCAATATGTACTTTCTAGAAAAATAAAACGCATAAAGCTATGAGTTCTCACAGATAGAGAGCATAGCCCAATTTTCCCCCATTGGAAAGTATATTGTTTCTGCTCTGGAGAAAGCAGAATTAACTTCCTATTTTGACACCTTTTGAGAGATTTGAGATTCAAGTCCGTGTAATTCAAAACACAGTGCTAGGCTGTGTGGATGTGAGTGGGAAGGGAATCCTAGGGGCATGAGTATGGGGAAGGATGAAGCATTGATTCCTAGCAGGTCAGCGTCAGTTTTATTCCCACAGTCTGATAAGCCTGCAGAAGAACACTGGGGCGCTCTGAGAAATTAGCCCTGAGTAGCTTTCATGGATACCACTGTGCTTGTATTATGTTAAAATAACTCTGATTATAGGAGTAGGCAAAGGTTCCAGGATTTTTAGTATTCTATTAAGATTGCTGTCACAATGCCAGGATTAAGATTCATGAGTATCCTACTTCCTGCCCGGCATGCAATTTGTGTATTCTATTTGGTTTTTGTAATTTGTAAGATATTTTATGTCTGCTGTTGGTAAGGTTTCAAAGCTGTTCAATTTCATCTTGTTCTGTTTATTTCTCAGAAGGCCATTGTGGGAACATTTTTATCATGGGTAATTGGTGTCAACAACACTAGTGGTTCCAGTCTTGATTGAGTTACTGCTGCCCAGATATGTGTCCAGGCGCTACTTGAGAGGATGCAGAAGCCCTGCAGGATACCCGGGTCAGGCAGAACTATAGTCTTGTCCATCTGAGATTTAAAAGAAAAGAAACCAAGATTCCGTTTCCTTTGTCCGTAGGATTTTCGCTGCAAGCAAAACATCATGCAGAAAAAGCCAAAGACATCCTCACCGACTTCATTGTACCGCCGTATAACGACAACACCGATGTTTTCAAGTGTTCTGTAGAGCTTTTCCACACCATGGGGAGGGCCTTCCTCTCCCTTCAGAAGTATCCTTTTGTCTCTGATTCTTTAGACATAGAAACATCGCTAGTGTGACACTCACATCCAGTTCTCAGGGTGAATAAAAATCTAATAGATACCTGGGGAAGAGGCATAGGCAGCGTGAAAGCCAGGGGAGACCCGAGGTCCCAGAATCTGGAGCCGAGTAGCTCTTTCCTGAACACAATTCAGATTTAAGGAAGCCTCAGAGAATTTGGTGAAAGCAGAGAGACTTTCGAGGGAGCTGCTGCAGTGTGGAAGGATTATAAAGGAAGAGTGGATAGAGGTCCAAGCACGAATCAAATTGTCATTTGCACAGTAAGTTCCAAGTGTAGAGTGTTGTTTGCGTGGCGGCTGGAGGTTCCTGGCCAGCAGAGTCTGTCTTCGGACAGCAGTGGCATCTCCTCGGAGCTCGTCCGCTTCTCTCCAAAAGTACAAGAGAAGCCAGTCGTGTCAGGACAGCCCCAAGCAAGATGTGCATCGGTGACACCTTCGCTTGGTGTCCGGTGCCCTCGTGCCTGCTCGAGGACCTGGTCTCCGAGCGGTGTTCCTTCGGCTGGCTTTCTGCCTGCTGGCTCTCACTGCCCTCTGCCTCCATGCCCTTCCCTTCCCCCTCCCTCACTCCCCACCCTCCGCACCCCACTGCTCCAGTCGGAAAGCCTTCAATAGATTGATTTTATAATTAGGCCTCAGAGGAGAATGATCCTAGGCAGATCTGAATCGATGATAATAAGACAGTTTTCTTTGTTCCCAGCCCACCCCGCTCACCGAACAAACCAGGCTAGACATGGTATAAAGAGAAGGCAGGGCCCTTGGGTAGTTACATGTCGGGGTCGCTCCCGGCCGGCAGGAAAGACACACGACAAAGTCTGGCGGTGTGCAACCTTGCCTTTATTTATCTCCGCGTGGGCCCCGCGAGGCCTCCACTCTGCCACCAGCCCTTTCTCGCCGGTGGACTTTCTCTATCTCTCTCTGTGCTTCCTCTGTGCTTCTCTGTCTCGTGGCGGGAGAGGCATTCACTTTTATAGGGTGACAGTGACCAATCAGTTCAAAGCGCGCGATGCGGGCTAATTGGCTAACATCAGTTGTTGCTAGGCAGACTATCTTACAGAGCGGGTTGTTTAAGTCGCCAGCACAATCAGGGGGCAGGAAGCAGGTGCCAACTTGACTCACTCGATGGGAGGGGCAATCTAGCTCAGGCTCCGCTCCCACCCACAGGCCCTACGTCCGCCAAGTAAGGCGACCGGTGTCGGCGGCTCCCAACAGTTACACAATTATCCCTGTCCACGGGCCTGACTGTGCGCCAGTTCCCAGAGCACTGGGGTGGCAGAGCATGCCCTGGCTGGGTGGAAGGACGGAATAGTGGGGAAGAGGCAGAAAAAGTCCACTCTGAGGGAGACAGGATCCAGGTAGCCTACATGACTGCCCTCTGCCAAAGCAAGAATTCGTTTTACCTTCGTAACCAGACTGTGTGCATAAGTTAATTCTCAAGAAAATTCAGAGCACCAGTAGGATCATTCTAAGAAACAAATTAGAGAAGAATTACCAGTGAACTCACCTAATGTTTCCATGTGGATGGAAAATGGAAAGGACCAACCTTGACTCAAGCTTTAAATATGTACGTGTGTGTGTGTGTGTGTGTGTGTGTGTGTGTGTGTGTGTGTAATCAGTTGTTTATTTGTCTGGGGTATTTGGACAGCAAGCACAGAGTTCATCTGACCGTGCAAGTCCCCATGGACCCCTTTTGATTTTTATTGTATTTTATTTTTTGAGACATGGTTTCACTATGTAGTTCAGGCTGCCTGGACTCACGATATAGCCCAAGCTGACCTCAAAGTCACGGGGCTCCTTCTGCCTCAGCCTCCCAGGTGCTGGGGTTACAGTGGACCCCTTTTTTAAATAAACATTTTCCTTGTTTTCACTTCTCTTCCCTCTGACAGCACAGATACCTATTTGGCTACAGATCTATGAATAAATAACATTTAGTATGTGCCGCTTTACACTTACGTTAAATTGTATCTATCTCGTTCTGTTACTTACTTTTTCTCAACTCGGCCCTTTTGACCCTTGTTTGCCTGTGAGCTGTTTGTTCCCGGCCTCTGCATGGCGCTTCAGAGAGTACACGTGGCACATTTTATTTACCCGCCTCCTGGCAGTGGACACTGAGCTTGTCCCCAGATCTCTGCTGCCACCAGTGCTATCATGAATATTCATGAATGTTCACCTCCGTAACTAAGTGAGGCCCTGTTTGAGGGTTACACCCTTGGGTGGCGTTTCCTCGGAAGCACACTTCCCATTCACTGAGCACCCCCAATTGCTACAATCTAGAAGCCAGCAAGAAAACATGAAGTGGGTAGGATAAAAGGAAACAAACTCAAAGATTTAAAAAGGACACCTCCTTTTTCTGAGCAGGTGGATCTCTATTTCTCACGTCCCCAGTAATGTTTGGCACCATCATCTTTCTGCCTGTTGCCAATTTGATGCATGTAACTTGCTAATTATGGGAAATTCTGTTTCTATTTATCTTAACAATGAGTTTGGATATCTTTTCCTATACTTCTTAGCCATTTGAGATTCCCTTTCTATGAATAACCTGCAAGTATTCTTTATTTCTCTTTTGGAATTCTCTGTGCGCTTCCTATGGGTAATCAGTATTTTCTTGTATGTTATTAATGATATTCCATTTTTAACTTTGTTCATGTTGTTTATGACTTAGAAATTCTTCATTTTGTTAGGATCCAATTCATTCCCATTTATTTACCTTTTGATATATGTAATGGGGAGTTTGGTTAAAATGTGTTTCCAATCCAAATATCAAAAGTTTTCTCCAAAATTTCCCTCTGAGCCCTGTGTTAGCTCTGTCTTCTGTACTATAGCACATAGGGCTCATCAGTGTCATTAAGTTCTTAGCATCTCTTACCTTAGACATTTCTCTTTAGTCCAAAGATTATTCAAATGTTGTGTGTTTTAGTTTGCAGGCACATGTGTTTTCAAGGTATTCTGATGTTACTGCTATCTAATTTTATTACATTCTGAACAAAAACATATTTGCATGGTATCAACTCTTTGAAATTTATCGCTTTCTTTGTGACCTAGTCCACCGCCAACTTTTGTGAATGTTCCAAATACGATAGGAGATTATATTTGTCACTTACTGTGTTTAACACCCTAGTAAGTCCGTATTAGTTTGATCTTATTAATTCTGTTCTTCAAACTTGTATCTTTGTGTTTTGCCAATTTGATGCCTTGTTTTGAAGACGCGCATGCTGTAGTGACGGTCTCCGATCTGACTGCTAATCCGTCTGCCTCTCCTCGGAGCTCTGCCCGTCCCTGTGGTGCATGCTGGGAGGCTGCTGTGCGGGAAGGAGGAGAACCAGCAGCACTGCTCGCCTCAGCATCTTGGCGGCTCTCGTTCTTTCCGGTCCTCTGTGTTGCCTGATGTTCTGCCCTCTTTTCATACCAATTTCACTTTAATACTCTTTCTCATGTTTTTTAAATCTTTGAGTTTGTTTCCTTTTATCCTACCCACTTCATGTTTTCTTGCTGGCTTCTAGATTGTATCTAAGTATTTTCATCATTCAATTTTCCTACCCATTAACTTGTAAGTTACACATTATCTTCCTCTCCTTCTGGTGGTGCCTACAGAGCTTGTCATTTACACCTCTGACTTACTATAATCTAATTCTGAATTAATCAATGAATGGCCTGTGGACAGTACAAGGACCTCGGAGCCATCACACTCTTTGTGGATGCCATGTTGTCCTGTGTAATTAAATTAAACATTTTACACCACAGGCAAGCACAGAGAGAAAGAAGCCATTTGTAACAGATAAGGAACTCATATCTAGAATCTGTAAGGAGTCCCAATGTCTTATTAAAACAAAAGCAAGCAAGTGAATAGAAAAAAAAGATCAAGAGTCTTTTCGCAAAAAAGGATACTGACATAGCTAACGCACTTATTAAAGGCATTCCCTGTTACCAGTCGTCAGAGAAATGAAACTGAAGTCTAGGACACTATGATAGTCCTGCTGACACTTTTTGAAAACCTGGTAACATCCAGTGTGGACCAGAACAGACATACCCTCTCACGTGGTACGGTTGGGACTTTAATGAAACCTTTGTCATTATCTGTTAGATTTGAACAGTTGCGTACCTCCTAGCCCAGTAATCTCACTCCTAGACATACATCTGGCAGGCATGCATCTCCTGAAAGACAGCAGATCACTTAGCGTTGGAAAGCAACCCAAATGTCTCAAAAACAGCATAAAATTGTTATCTGTCCATACAAAGAAAATGGTCAGACTGCTCCCTGATGAATATCATGGTTGGCTCTGAGGAACATGCTGTTTAGTGCAAGAAATCAGACCCAGAAGAATCATTACACAATTGTACTTAAATCATGGGAGGAGGAACAGAGCTGTGGGTGCCTAGGAAAGCTTCTTTATCTAGAATCTTCTTTCCTGCTCACAGTTAGGCACTATCCTATCTTGAAGGCAGTAAATATACAAATCAGAGGTTCTAGATCTTATATTTGTTGCCTCTGTTGAGATCTGGCTTAATATATCAGTGCTTAGTTCTAAGTAGAATTGTTAAATTACCCTTTCCATGAATCTGGCAGCACCTCGAGAATGCTTTCCAAAATAGCAGTACCAAACCTTGCCAGCAGATGGCGGACCTTGTACGCTTCTGTGCTGAGCAACAAACCAGAATTTGAGTGTAGCGAGCTGTTCTCTGGTTACTTTTGTGTTTAGCAGAGTTGTTACAAAGTTTGCGACTTCTTTTCACCCCAGTTCTTCATCCTGACATCTTCACTGGAACGTACATATATAAAATGCATGCCTTTCATTCAGTGAGTTTGCTTTATTTCCTCATTGAAATGTGAAATGTTTCCTCTTTAAAAGAAGGCTTTGGGCTTTGCAATTTCTCTTGAACCATAACGGCCTTTCCTTGGGCCGGTTTAGAAGTGAAAGGCTGGGATAACTTCGTAGGCATCTTTCTGAGGGTTATGTCCCTTGTAAAAGGCTATTTTTTAGCATACACTCTTCCTCCCTCTGCCTGTCCTTTTATGGTGCCCAGCAGGGCTGCCGGTGCCTTTCTCCCTGGGCTCACATGGAACTGCCCCAGGGTGACTCATGCCCCGCCCTCCATCCCTGCTGCAGCCCTGGAAGCTTCTTTCCTCTCCTCCACCTCTGTCTTAGCAGTGCTCCATTCAACAGTAGTTCATTAACTTCGGGCAGTGAATAGAGCTCGTGTACACCTGAAGTCAGCTGCAGGAAGTCACCAGCAAACATGAGCAGACTTGGAATGCATTGCTGTGC